ACGGTACTAATAGCAGCAAAGTGCTATTTGAATATGTAATATATGAACGCAGGACGTATCCTTCCTATTTTCCTTCGCTCTTTTCTTTGCAACGCTCGAATCTTTTAGATGTCTATTGCTAGTCCTGCACTGCTCCGGCAGCTACCGAATGCTAAGCGGTACCATGCTGTTTGATTCGACTGGCTTGATTACCTTAACCGGTCTTCGCTGGCTGGCATCGCTCGCTTGCTCTCCTTTACGCTGTGCGCTATAGGCAATACGTGTTGTCGGCGTACGTTCCCTTTACGGCGATCGTTGTCTATCGTTCTCCAGTCTCACCCGTTCTTTACTAGCCCATTGCTCGTAGGCTACGTCCACTCTCTCGCGGTAACAACCGGCGGCAAACTATCGCGCAGGCTTCCGCGATAACTATATATACATATTACGAGACGCGCACAGTTACCTATTGACGTGTGCCACGACGCGCGCCGCCACTCCCTCCGCAACTACCAGAATTAGCGTTACATAATAACATCATATGCAATAGATACATCTATAGCCGGCAAAGATAACGCCACAGCGGAAACGATGCGACCTGCTGCTATTGATACAGCCATCTTCGCCACTGCTGTCAATCAACGCCGAAACGGCCACGCACACCGCACATATTTAATAAGGCCGAACACTAGCCGTTCAATTGGAGGAATCCCTTCCATAGAAATAAACACTATCGGCTGATGAGTGGTAATAATTGCACGTACGAGATTTCACGTTAGTGGACTGTATATGGGAATATGTACATACGTAGTGTACTGCTGTTTTTGTGGCCGTCGAGCGAAAATTCTCGCCGTCCTATGGCTTTCGACATTTAATGACCGCGTCTATACCTAGTTATAAATTTTTCAGTTCTCTCTGAAGCTAGACTGGATTTTGTATACAGTAAAGCGATCCTTCTTAGACTGTTTTCTTCCAGCAAATTACGTTAACGATGAGCTACAAGGTTTTTTTGCAGATATGCCGTCATCGGCTGGCTGATCTCTCCAAACTCCTGTGTACTTTGACAGATCTGTTTCGTGAAAGGTGGACGGATAAATCTATGAATGGACCATGTACACTCTCCATTCATTAGCGAAAAGCTTGACAAGCAAATGCTGATTGTGCCACTCTATGACTTCCGTCAACGCAGTACTATTACCCATCGTTCTTATTATGAAGACTGTTATTACGGATATGGTCGTGGTCGTGGTTTTGATCCATATATCGACTTTTCTTTCATACTACAGTTTGCTCGTCGGATGGGGTCAATCTCTTGTATGTACATATTTATGTATGTTTGCTGCCACATACCATCGTCAACATCTTTGTTATCTTGAAGACAAGGCAGTCTTCGTCGATTTCTGATGTAGTGGTGACTTCACATTTATTCGGATCACTTACCAGATGCATATTACTGCTGTGTCCATCAGTGTCATGTTTTCCGTGTCTAGCAGAATAATGAGACTTTTCTCTCGATAAGCGCCGGTTAGGCTGCAACCGCTAATCGAATTAAGACTGCTGCATCTAAGAAAAATATCGCGTAAACCCCTTGTCCTTTTCACATAGGGCTATTCAAAAAAGAGCTGGCCGAATCGTTCAGAGTTTCCACTTTCGAAGATTGAATGGACGGTATAAGGGGCGCGCTGCGTCGTTTGGTCCAGGAACAGGACTTCGGCTTAGATGCGCTCTAACTATTCTCCCTTAGTCTTTGCCACTTGGAACTTGAAGTGGACTAGCTTTGCGATAAGCCGACGAAGGTCAATATTACTACGACGTATTATAGTGACCTAGTTAGCTGGTTGACGGCACCAAGCAGGAAAAAATGTTTTTGACCACTTTCTATATTAAAACGGACAATGTCTGAACTACGAAAGACTGCCGCTAAAAACAACTTACATAGGGGCCATTTCGGTGGGCATATCGTTTGCTATATTGTCCGCCTTCTCCAGAAGCACACGCTTCTTCACGCTCGTTCCGTGTTGTCCGCAGGCCTTATGTGCAGTTTGCATGCACACTGTCTAGTCACGCGCGCGCGTGTTAGAGGACTGCAAATCGAATTTACGCAGAAGCGTTGTAATCTTTAACAGAATATCATGCGCGCACCACTTACCGGGTGTGCGCTGGGAAAGATCATGGTCGACGGCTAGCTGATACACCGACCATCTGCGGTCTAACATTGGTTACAATGCAGATTACGTGGCTATGTCTGAGCTGTGGAAACGCATGAGGCGGGTATCCACAATGAAATCTGAGCAATGACTTTTGCGAGGTCAGAGGAAACATAATGGCCACAGGCTGGCGTGCGCGTCCATGCTCTCTATCGGCAGAACACAAGTCGATGGACTGCGTTTGTGTTTCTTTTCCATTCGAGGTCAAGCCTCTCTGTAGAGTGCTACAGGTTTCAGTGTTACAATCACTTAACAGCTCCAGGAGGTAGTGAACAAACCCCCGTCAGCTTTGCTGCAGGAGGACGTCATTTGTGGTCGAGCACTGTGGTTTGTCATAGCCAAGAAATTGGGCGATTAGCTGAGTCGACGGCACCAGCTTTAAAACAGCCATTTTTTATTATCGTTGTTACCTTCATGTAGTGCAATGTGATCACTCTTAGCGGAGAACTCTCTGAACGACCAGTCTTAGCAAATCTCTGACTGTATTATGTAATTACTAGCGTGAACAGAAGACTGTTATCACGAAATGCTCCTAGTGCTAGATATACATTCGAAAATATCGGCTGGCTGGACGGCCCGAAACAATACACTGACTTCCTTGTCGAAATGTCGCCAGACGAGATGTATATCGGGTCTTTGTTTCGCATCAAAACGTAGAAACGCTAGGAATATTCCATAGAAAGGACAAGAAAGATCAGGCGTAACATACTCCGGGGCATAGAAAACTTGCGAAGACAGACAGCCCGTATTTTATCAATGACACAATCGATGCCATCGACGTTACTGGCTATCCAAAACGGTTTGATGAGACCTGCTACCTTTTGTTTTTACAAGTGTTAGTCAATATTGCAATGTAAATGTCATAAGTCAGTTCGCGGAGTCGGAGGAAATAGTAGACAACGGCGCTGCTTCAGAGCAACTCAAGTTGAACATGTTATGTTTAATTGTTAGACTTCCGGAACGTCTGCTGCCCGAAGTATCTGACTTCATGGACCAGTTTTACCTCAGTAATGAAAATGGCCAAAATGAAAGTACACGGTAAGCCAATTCCGATAAGCTTCGAATTATAGGCTGTTAGTAAATGATGTCGTACGTAGAGTAGCGTAATGGTTGCTATTGAAACGACGCAGTGGCTAACTGTTTTTTCAAGGTAATGAAAAATCTAGTTTTTCAACGCTATTTCAAAATCCTCAAATTCTCTCAGCCTACCTACGGTTATGCTTGAGTTGGCACAGGAATATAATGGTATTCAGTGGACATTTTGGCGCTAGATTTGCCGCTAAAGCTTAAAGCCTCGGTAGATTTACTCACTAATTTCATAATTATCGATAATACAGCGGTCATGGATCCGCTACTTTGTGCACGTTACTTAAGAGATTTTTCTCGATATCGAAACGGCGTATTTTCATCGCACAGTCACCACAATTATCGCCACAAGTACGGATATATAATTTATGTAACGCTTGCACCCACTCGTTCCCTCCAAATCGAGCGGAAAAATGCTCCTCTGCAGCAGAAGTCTTACTACTATCGTTATCATGTCCTTTATGTTTGTTGTTGAGTGAACATATTTTTCAACATACATAGATATGAATTTTTTCAAAAGGAAGTTGTCTGGGAAGGCCATTCGCTATTTTCACGCTGTAGAGGACCAAACAAATATGCTTTGTTGCTTAATTGTAAAAGCTACTTGTAAGTTTCGTTGACGGCCAAATAACAAGTTAACATTAACGAGGCTAACAGAATCGAGGATAACCAGTCAATTTGAGTTCATCCTTTAACTACCACAATTCGCGCACGTGTAGCAGTGGTCAATAAACAACAGGCTGCTTTTTGCTTTTATACTAAAATTTCTTCGAAAGTTACTATTGCAAATCTAAACTTAAGGGTCTATGCGGAAAATGAAGGCTGTGCTTTTTTATGTCACACTGCCTAACCGCCAGCTAGGCTATCTGAATGCTGACGCGGATTGCAACTCTGTAGTACAATAACGCAACGGTTCTTCGATAGAATGAATAGTTATCGCTAACAGAGCTTCAGACAAATGAAAACAATTTTAGTAGAGGAAACTCTTTGTCCTTACGAGAAAATCATTGCGTGTCAGGTTGATGTCAGGCAGTGACTCTCTAGGCAACAAACCTTATAGGCCCATTGGATTATTCACGGGTCTTCTGTACAGTAATACAAATTAGTTGGCCCCACAGGCTGGACTCTACTCGGCGCATGTAGTCGTAAGCGTAACCTCGAAAGCACCTAGTATCTTCGGAGACCCGTATTGCCTTTTCTCGTTTCTATCAAAAGCGACTTACGGTTAGCAGTCGCTATTTCAAACACTTATTGCAAACCAGTAATAGATAAGGTAGGTAGAAAGCGAGCGCATCTTAAGTCGCCGATACTGCGTAAACCTGATGGAATGATCAACGGCGGTATCGGAGCAAAAACTTGAAACATTTAAGTACGTTATAAAAAATCACCACTCATTTACAGCCGGAACCTATTGACACTACGAAACTTGGAAAAAGCAGTGTTTGAAATGGAGATTCTACTTTTTACACAGCTTCATATTTTCCGAAGGGTCGTTTACAAAGCTAATGCTTTGATAAGATTCAATCAAACATTTGGTAGTTTGATACTTATAGCAAAAGGTTGGGAAACTAGATCTTTGCTCTCGGCAGAAATACATCCGGGTCACATTAGGATATTCCGCGTCTGTATGTGAGGGAACACACTATATTGCAGCAGTAGCATTATTATACATACAAACATTAGACAGAACACTTTTTCACTAATTTCGAAATTTACGTATGATGCACTAACCTGACTATAGGCGTATTTTCATCAGCTTCATGCGAGCCGACTACCCCTTTAAAGCTTTTGCCGGGAGGTTGAAAAAGGCCAGGTGTTAAGTTCTGGTGGGCTCCTCGATGTATAAGTGTGCCAACCTCCGATGAGATAGTGTCATCGTTGTTCTGTACGTGCTCCAGCCGCCGGCCAATCAACTGTTGCCAGTCTCGTTCATTAGACTCCCGGCCGAAGCCATCCTGAACGCCGGTCTCCCCCTTTTGCATCTCGTTAGTGGCCCCGCGGCCTCCGCCGCGCTCCGAAAATACAGAGCACCCGCTACTCGTACTGACGAGTTAGTCCCATCGAAACAGAACACGCAAGCGTCGACGGGGTATCCACGAGGACGGTTTGAGGTGGGTATAAAAAAGTTCACACCAGTGGGTTTTTTTTTTGGTCAAATCCCAATAAATCCAGTAACACAACACGTTGGCACCATACACCGTTATTGGGGTAATAGCAGGCGACAAAAGGTTCGAAGAAACGAAGCATGAAATAGGAAACACAAGCGAATGCATATATACATCGTTAAATTCACTATCTATCTCTGACCTTATTAGATAGGACAGACTTAGTAAAACCCTAAATAACAAGTAATTTCATAATGGAATATTAATTAAAGAAAGGACAGATAGCTATAGCTAACATTTTAATAAAGTGATCATCGCCACACACCGTTAGACACAGGCAGTGTAATTCATTCTTTGCCTAGGCGATCATCACTAAAAGAAGTAGATTAGCGTTGGCGAACTTTTCTCACTGAGTTCGCAAAAAGGCCCGGTTAGTAGATTTCGCCGACATTTTATTACACCGATACTCCCTTTGTAAGATCTATCGAGAATTAACTGAGAGATAGAAAGTTTAATAACGTCGTACAGGAAAAATTTAGGAAGGAAGGCTTTTTTTGTACGCTATGGAAGAACGTTAAGAAGCGATAAAATATGTACCATGTCCTTGTCCAAAGATTGCTATGGCGTCGTTCGACGATCGAATAGTTTGTTATAGTTTATTCGAGTACGATAGTTTAGGCCTAAAATTGTCTTGTTTCAGGCCAAAAATTGGCGTTGCTAGTTCTTTCTGAGCTGCTCGGAAACGTGTCGTCGATGTTTGTGGCTCGTCCCTTTAGCACAGCTGCTACTTTACCTGTTGCTAACTGAAAGGTACTAGTAGCGCAGCGTCGGGACACACGGAATCGTTGTTTAGTATTTTACAGATATTTACAGGCACAAGGTTTTCGTAGCCATGTCGGTAATGTAATACCTTGACGGATTATCAGCGTGCATTATGTTACGTGACCCGATTGGCGTTATAGCCGACCAAGCAACTTTTGTCTGTTTTCTTTATTTAGCAAATTAGTGCCTAAAATAAGAACGATGTCATTTAAACGTTTAACTTGAAATAAGTTAATTCCTTTCAGGCCGTCTCACTGAATAACCCTTAGTCACTCTATGCTCGTATGTCCATGGATCACTAGCCAACATTACAGGCCATAAATTGTTATGGCAATTTACCGTTAATGCTAAATACCATTATCGTTCAGGCGTTTCTCATTCAAATCGATCGTAGAAGGTGCAAATGATAAATAATTACCATTATTAAATCCTCGCTTGCTTTTCTATTGAATCCACCATCTAGCCTAGCAAGCAACCTAATTATAACCTTACGAGATTATCGGTAGCGGCAAAACCTGTCGACTGTAAACGCGCTCATTTTCAGTTACCTTTGCAAGGGCGGAACATTGCAGTAACGTTGCCCCCTCCGTCGACAAACTGTCGTACATGAAATCAACTATGATCATTACCATTAGACAACACTTCTGTACCTGGATCACGCTGCCAGGGATGCTGGCCTTGAAACAACACATGTCGAACCACCGTTGAAAGTGGAGCAGTGGAAAACCGCACCACCTTCCGGCGCCTGACAGATCGTCGGAGCACAGATGGAACATCAGCCTGGATATACTAACGGATCCCAGCTATTATTGGAAAAATCAGCTATCCGAACCGTGATTTTATCTAACAATATTGAAATTACGACAATACCGATATATATTCTTCGTCGATTTATAGAAATTATGGTACTGCTTGTTGTACATTAGCGATACTTTCGTAATGTATCTGAATAGACATCACATGTTCTAGGCACTTTAGTCCTAAACGACAACCCAAAGAAATTTAATGATTCGTCCGTCCAAAAAATGACGATAATTGGTTTATATGCATCCAGATAAGGCGATACGATATCTGCAGAAATTTACTAAGCATTGTTCTAATATTATTCGCGTACCATTCTGTTTTGGTCGTTACGAAGCGAGCAAGGCACGAAAACTTCTCAACTCACCAACCAACCAACCAACTAACTACCTACTCCCCTTTTTCAAGGAAATACAAACTGGTAAAATAGCAATCATTCAATATTTAATTAGGGAGGTTCCAAAATAATATGCCGTTATTAGCTGATCGAGGCACTAGGTTTCGGTGTTCCACATAGGGACGATACGTAAGACAGATTGAAAAGCACGAAGCGCCAGTTGTCGTTGACCAGCGAGCACGAGATGTTCTATTCGATGTTTCTTGCTGTTCGCATGTGCTTCTGTTGTTCTCCCAATGTTAATTTTCAAATCAGTGGAGCGTCGTTTCTTGCGCATTCATACCAGTTGTACGCAGTAATCTATATTTACGGGATACAATCATTTCTCTTTTGTAGAAGACGCAGGTCGAGCTAGCCAAAGCAAATGAGATGTATAGATCTGTGCTGAAAACCTGTGAGATTGCATCGAGTACACTTGAAGCACAGCTGCCTGCAACGGACGCTCCAAGCAAAATCCCTAGTCGCAGCTGCTGTGGCCAGCGATAGGGGCTTGTTAGATCAGCTACGTTTTATCATTAAAGCTGCGAACTATTACGGATCAAAGAGGTCGCCCTCTGCCAGTATTACCATTTACTATCGCTAAGTTTGTTAGCGAGCTGGCTAGCTGGATGCTGAATATCGTAATAATATAATAATGTCGCAAACAGGGCATCCGAATACCAAACAACGAGCATGTATCTATGAGTACATAGCATTGATATGATTTATATGTTACAGTGACTAGGAAATCGATTTCAAAACGCTGAAAGCATTCCTATAATGTGCGATAACTTTGGGACGGGTATGTCCCTTATAAACGACCATAACGGACCGGTCTCCTACACACTCAGCCCCATGGTGGCGGGGTTTTCCTCGCTCCAAATATCGACAATGGATCATTTACATTGGACGAAGAACATTTCGAACTCAGCTCCGATACTTCCTTTAGACATCGTCTTCACGGCCACTTCACGGCGAAAATCCTATCGGGTATACGCGCTGGCAGTGTAACAACGATAGTCCAGTCTAAACGGATTCGCGCGATGTGTCCATATGAACGGTATCTATCAAACCTAATCGTGCAGACAGGCTTCTATTGGACTATTTTCACTCATTTCAGCTGTCCGCGGCTGCACCGAGTTGATGAGGGAGGGATGAAATTGTTACCAAGTGTTTAAATAGAGCGTCAAAGATAAAATCCATGAAAAAGAGGGAGTAAATTTATTAAGCGACTAAAAACAATTACCGGGAGACCGGACAGAAGGTCGTTTGAATTAAATTGAATTATAAAAATCGTGTTTTCATGGTGTGAAATGTCGCACTTGCTGGGTGACAGCGCTAAAAATAATAAATTGACCAGCCAACCAGTGGTGGTATCCTATGAGCGTGCAAATGTGAGAAAACCGTGTCTTTTTGCCATTAAACACACGCTGTAAATATATTCAACAGATATGCATTATTGAAGATAGATACGGGACGACAGTAATCGACCCAAACCACCTTTCTACCCGCGAAAGCACAGTTTGCTTCGTCCGTTGCTATTGCGGATTGAGCTATCACAATGGAGTTCTCGTCGTGGTGACGGATGGACGTTTAATGGATGATTCCAATGATTACCTCGAGACTCATCTATCTCCTGCCATGTGTCAAAGGGGTCAGAAAGATTTGCTAATCGCAAAAGGCAACTACTTAGCTTGATAGGTATGGTCCTTGTTCGCTGATATTGCGGATATTAATTGTGATACAAGAAAGCTTCCCGAACGAGGTGTTGACGATTTTTCTGCCAGGCTGTTCGTGTATTTTTTCCTTATTATGTTCCCGGGTCCTGTTATTCTATTCGGATGTTATATGAAGCTGTAATAGATTTATTTCACTTTGGCTTGTATAGGTCAAGTTCCGTTAGCGTACAACACGAGGTCCGCGTACGAGCTAAATCTAGCGAGTGAAATTTCTTCGTTTGTTAATCTACACACAATTCTATACATTTATGGTAGAGTTAGCCTTAAATCTGAAACAAACGTGATACGCGCACTTTTTTTTTGGTCTATCGAAATTAAAGGTAGATTGCTTGCACCCAGCTTTAAACGTTGAGGTGATTAAATGAGCGGATCCGGAACAGGCAGAATATATTTCTTCTAAAATTATATATGGTAATCAGGCGTATCTTTAGTATCTCGAGTTCCGCCTAGACTTAGCAAATGAAGCGGAATCTCAATCACTGCATGTGTTTGCATAGCCTCTTTCAACTGCCGGAAGCGGGATTAGTTCGCGGAGCGTCAAAAGGCCTGTTATACAGCGTTTCACTGAACTCATAATGGCGTTCTTCAGTTGATGCCCCCTCCCTCGGATAAGAATCATCGACCCACTCATTTTCATAAACTATTTGTCACGAGGATAAACACTAACTTTCACTCGTCTCTCGATGACTACAATATTCAATCATATAGCCCCGTCACGGTGATTGCGTGTACCCTATGCGGCCACAGCCAACCCAATGTCTAGAAAGAGCATTACTGCAAATAAAACAGTCTCAAAAATGTCCTCTATTGTCTTGAAGCGCCACTCGCAAGACTTATACAATTTATAGCTGCTTATACTGTTACAAAAGACATTTTCTATAGTATCATAAATGGCAGCCTGCTTTGTTTCATTTGTGAATTTGATTGCTTGATACTAGATGGCCTGCTTATATAGAGCGTCAGGGAACAGAGTGTCAAGCGTATAAAGATGAAGATCGAATTACTAGCTCCGAATCTATTTCACTGCTATCAGCGATAATTGGTTGTGCCAGCAACGCCGCCATTACTTGGGCAATGTGAAACTAGCCTCGAGGCGTTCACATCGAATAACGTGAAGACTCGCTGAACGTGAAGATGTGTATCATACAGCAGGTGACGATTAACAAGCTGACAGGCAACTCCTACCGCTTTGATGATGTC